GTGCTGATGCTATACAAACGTATAGCCGATGATCTTTCCTACAAGCTCTCTGGACCAACGGTGCGAGGAGAGAAAGAGAGAGTGGGAAAGAACAGAATGAATTTAATGTTAGTCTGCTCTGGGCACGGCACCAGCCTTTACCTTGCCTTCTTTGCGTAGGAATGCTTTAGGTTGCTGTGAGGGAAGTTTGAAAAAATAGTGGACTAGCTGATGCCAACTGAATGATCTTACCTGGACTTTGCGATCAACTTAGTCAGGCCGTAAGGAGCGTCCAAAACAAAATGGACGTGCGAAAGTGCCTCTTAGGCGCTGACATAGGTAATTTCTTGTGAGAGGTCTTGTAGTTTGAGAAGAATCCCAATGAGGTAGAGTGGATTCTTTAAGACACGGGGCAGTTTTTTTATTGTATTTCTAATCTCTTTGACACGAGAAGCTAGCAAACAAAACAAAACAGAACACAAATCGGTCTTGCAGGTTAATCTAGTTTGGAGAATAAACTGACATGAGAACCCTCCATGCAATTCAGTTTGCTTACAACACTGTAATACTTCCTGCTTCCTTGAACAGGAGAGTCATAAATGTTAAAAAATAGCACCAAAAGCCTTTTAAACTTGCACTTGCAAAAGCCCTCTTTTAAAGGTGTTTCTCAGGGTGATACTGCTGTGTTTATTAAGGCTGCGGCTGAAACGAACTGTATTCCAAGCTGCGACCCCAGGCAAAGAAAACTGTCTTTTGCTGTATGAAGGAAAAGGAGTGAGAGGTGGGCTGGTTCTGCCACTGAAGAACAAAAGGTAGAGGGAGTAGAGCTGAGAAATGGGGTGAACGGAGACCAAGCCCTGCAGAGGTGCGTTCACCTGCTCCTCCTGTGAACAGAGGAGTGGAAACCACTTTCCCCAGCAAGAGCTAGTACTCCATACAACCCGCCTCTGCCCTCGTGGCAGCAGCTAGCCTGATTTTCCCAGTGTTTTGGGCCTGTGTGGCGGGGTTTTGGTAGCAGGGGAGGGGCTGCAGGGGTGGCTCCTGTGAGAAGCTGCTGGAAATTTCCCCGGCTCCAAGTCGGACCCGCCGCTGGCCAAGACCGAGCCCATCAGTGGCGGTGGTAGCGCCTCTGGGAGAACAGGTTTGAGACGGGGAACCTGCAGTGAGTAGGGGGATCGGAATGTGAGAGGAAGGAACCCCTCTGCAGACACCGAGGTCAGTGTGGAAGGAGGGGAGGAGGAGCGGGGGAGGAGGGGATGCCCCTGCAGCCCGTGGTGAGACGGCAGGCTGTGTCCCCCAGCCCACGGAGGGGAGCGGGGGAGCAGAGGCCCACCTGCA